GACATCACTCCCCCATAAAACAGTGAAGCAATACTTTATAGTATGATAAAATTTATTTGGACTTATTATATTATAGTAAGTGGAATAATATGCTGCCAGAAGACATAAGTGAATAGCCATTTCTTTGATTGTAACTTTCTATACTTCCTTTCTTCATGATCACTAGAAGTCAAGTCCTATTCAGTCAAGTCCGCAAGTCAATGATGCCAGAAGACATCATTGCTTACTAATTTGCTTCTAGAAAAGAAAAAAATATTTTTATTTTTGTTGGAGAATTATAGGTTGCCGCAGTCTGGCTGCAGCAAAATAACCGGGGGGTGACGAGCCACTTGTGTACATTGATACAGCAGGAGAGGGAGCCGTTTATTGTAGGACAGGAGGGGTATATATACATTCCACACAGCTTATCTTAATTAACATAAACTAGATACATCAGTCAACCAATAAGGAATCTCCACACTTAATGGCTCGCTGGCGTTACTTCACAAACCACTCCCTCTGGCAAAATGCCAGGCGCCATCCTGACTTGTTTATAAACCCTAACAATAAGTGACAAAATTTCCTGAGAGATTTTCAAGTCTTCTTGAATACAATGGTATAGTTCTTTGGTTCCTCATCATTTCATTATTTCCTCCTGAAAACCCCACAGAACAAACAAAAATAAGCAAACTGTATTTTTATGAATGAGACTGATAGAAAGCATCTGAAGCCAGACGTGGTGCCCCTCACCTGTAATCCCAGCGGCTCCGGGGGCTGAGGCAGTAGGACTGCAAGTTCAAAGCCAGCCTCAGCAAAAATGAGGAGCTAAGCAACTCAGTGAGATCCTGTCTTTAAATAAAAATAAAAAATAGGGCTGGGGATGTGGTTCAGTGGTGGAGTGCCCTTGAGTTTAATCCCAGTACCCCCCACTACACACACACACACACACACACACACACAAATAAAGCATCTGAAAACTCAGGGGTTTCAAAAGCAACTTCAAAGGCTATTTAGCTGAACTGAGAAGGAGGGCCACATGGGAGATCATGACAGGGCTGGGAGAAACATGAGTGCAGAAGGGACACAGCTTAGCAGATCTCATGAATTTACAGCAAATACTCATCCCAGAAAGATGAGGCCTGATCTTGAGAGTGAACTGCTGTGCACAAGACTGAACAGGACTTGACATCTACTGTTCATAAAGAAAGGAAGTATAGAAAGTTACAATCAAAGAAATGGCTATTCACTTATGTCTACAATTTTTGAAGGAACCAAGCAAATTGAGGGCTGGCAGAGGAAGTCTTCCAGAGCCAGATTAGATTGGAAGAGGCAGCAGGAGCCTGTCTTTACCAAGGTTCTGTATAATAAGGAAGCTTCTCTTAGCTTGGGGGATTCTTGACAAGTACAGCCTTGAAGACTATCCTAACCCTTCTCTCTATTTTTATAGCTCCAGGAAATTTTAACTTATTCAAATAACCAAAAAGGAGCATTGATAGTATTTATACAAGAATATACAGATGTGAAAAAGAAGTAACAAAACTTTCTTGCTAATCATAAAAACTTAGCACAGCTGTTGGTTAAATTAAATGTGAACTATAACTAACACACTAACATGAATCAATAGTAAATAATAAAGCCACAAATAAAAATGTATAGACTCTCTGGAAGTGGTAGTCAAGTATCAGAAAGGTCTAAAACGAATACTGGAAGAACTTGGCAGGGAAATAGAAGAAAATTACAAAACATTCAGAAATAGAGATCAATTACTCAAAGCACATGGAAAACAGAAACACATTAAGGGAGCACAAATGAACCACAACAATAAAAGAAGTAGAGGTAAAGAGATAAAAAAGAATTATAGGAAAAAATGACAGACATAAATCAGGGAAAGGAGATTCCCCCACCTCCCCGCAGCAAAAAAGTGCATAAATGAAGTTTTGAGAAAAGAAAATTAAAACAATAGGTCAATACCACTATTTAAAATTATAACTAATGAAATACTTTCATTAAATGAACAAACAAAAGGACTTGAATTTTCAAATTGAAAAGGCATTTTTATTAGATTATTAGATTATTTTATTTAATGTGGCTGTATTCTTTTATTAGATTATTATTTCTGACCCAGAAAGATCTACAGTAGAATTTCTTTTTTTTAAAGAGAGAGAGAGAGAGAAAGAGAGAGAGAGAGAGAGAGAGAGAGAGAGAGAGAGAGAGAGAGAGAGAGAGAATTTTTTTAATATTTATTTTTTTAGTTCTCGGCAGACACAACATCTTTGTTGGTATGTGGTGCTGAGGATCGAACCTGGGCCACACACATACCAGGTGAGTGCCCTACTGCTTAAGCCACATCCCCAGCCCCATACAGTAGAATTTCTAGACTTGAAAGATAAGAGATTATCTAATAACACTCACAAAATCCAAGGGAAAATAGGCAAAGGCTGTGATTTCATATCCAATCTAGTTTATTTCAAATATAGAAGCCACTGTCAAACAGTTTTGAATATGTAAGAACTTCAAAATTATTGTCCAAATAAATTTTTGAGGGTACTACTGAAGGGCACACTTAAGTAATCAAGGGAAAACTGGCACAACTTGACCCAAAGGACTCATAGTTTTGAAATCTCCAGAAAACTTGTAAAAATATAGTAAATGTTCTAGTTATAAGCATATTTATAAGTTCTTCCCATGAGGTTTTTTTTTGCATAAAAGTAATAGATGGGCATTCATAGATGATAACTGTAGATGCAAATTTCAAAGCTCTATTAACACGTGTCTATAAAAATAAATAGTGCAGTACTTTTGAGTTTCTCTTGGCTTCAGACTGATAATCAGAGAATTTAGTTTGGTATATTAATTACATTAAATTATCAGATCGATTTTCTGGCTTTCTGCCTATGCAGTCACCATGTGTACGGAAACAGCAATGCAAAGAAGCCAGGAGGCTAGAGATCTCATCTCAGCTGTGTGATTCTGTGATCTCAGATGAGTCACTTCATCTTCTTTGATTTGTTTTCTCATCTGTAGGAAGAATGTATAATATGAGTGAAATCTTCTTATTGTGCTTGTCTCTAATATGGAAAAGAAAAGACAAGAAAGGGAGGGAGAGAGAATAAAGATTTATTTATTTTTATGTTTGTGGGAAAAAGTAAATTCTGCTTTAAAAAGAATAGTCTGCTCTTGGCCTTTTTCAGTCATCTGCAACTATGTTGAACACACGGTAATCATCTATCCCTTATTTCTTAATTAGAACAGTCACTGGTTTATCCAGATTCCAACTCCAACATTATTAACCTTTAAGTTCATAAAGTGAATTTTTAACAAAATGTTCTAATATGTTAATTATGCTTTTATTTTCTTTCTCCTTGTTAAGCTGGTTTTGCTATATATTTTTAACATGTTGTGTGAAAGATGTTTTCCTTTATCTTTTTGCTTTCCTTTGTAGCAATTAATAGAAGCTTTTAAAATGCTGAATTTGCCTCTGAGTAAAGCTTTGATTCCAGTTCTTGACTTTTGATGCATAATCTTCTAACTATGGCTGTTATATAACTATTTTGAAAGTGCAATTTTGATCTCCTATTCACCCAAAGGCCATTTAGGAAAGTACTTTAAAATGGTGAAAACATTTCTCTCTCTCTACTTCTCTGTTATTAATGGTCAACAACTATGGCTTGGATTATTTTTTAACTTTATTTAGTATATGGTCAACACATTTAAATGACATCTATATGTTTTCCTCTAAATTTTTCATTGCATTTCCAAATGCTACTGAGAAAATGTAAATTTTTTCTCTCATCATTTTATCTTTCACTTTTTATTTTTTCCTTGAAAGCTATCCAGTATTTAGAATAGTAGCATCTATGTGATAATAAATAAATAAAATGGAAACAGATTTAAATTGATTGCTACATGCTTCAGTGTGAGGTTGGCTCAAAATTTGAATGGATATATATATAGAACATTTTCTTACTTTACAAGAAAAGTTGAGATTCCCACAAACAATTGTGAATCTTGATTCTCAGATGAACCATCAGTGTTTCAGAGCATAACTATTTCTGGTGGAAAATTATTTGAATACCTTCCATATGAACTAGGAAAAAATGAAAAATATAAACCTAAAAAAGTTCAATTGATTAGACAAATACAGCACTAGTGATTTGCCAAGCATATTGACTCAAAGTTGAAAAACATTTTGGTTTAAATTGCTGCACTTATAAAATCATAGTTTTCTTTTCTCCCATTTCTTATTGGATGGCAAAATAAAATATGTATTTTGAAAAAAATTCTAAAGTGCTACTAAAATAGCACCCAAAGCATGAGTGTCTATAGCTATTTAATCAATGTCAAAATTTAATAATTTTTATACAGAAAAATTTAATGTTGGTTCAATTTAAAAACAATATAGCACTTTTGGGAACAGGTAAATGTATAAAGTCACACCAATAAGATTTAGAGTAGGAATCGTTTTGAAATATTAGCATCGTATTGATGCTGAATGCATCTGCTTTTTCACATTATGTAATTAAGATAAAATTTTCATGTTTTGTGGACAAGCAGATTATTAACAATTTAAGAATCAATCAGTGTCTCATAATATGAAAGATAAATATGAGGATGGGTTTTGTAAAGCTTGTTACCTAGGAGCCTAATCTAGGAATTGATTGTGAGATTTTTTTTATTTGGTTATTTGGCATAATTATTCAGACTATTTCTGCTTGCCCCACACTGACTGAAGTTCATGCCTGTTTTATGTCCTGATTTTTTTTTTTTTTTGGACCTCTTCTATCTTGACCTGTGGGCTATCTATTTGTGTCGTAAAGAATTGCCATTTATTATTTGGCCTTGCAGATTATAGATTGTGAATAGATTCTAGCTCTACTGAGTCAAATATTATGAAGAAAAAATTGTAAAGATTGATATTTTAAAAAGAACAACTAATATAGAAAAATATAACGGAAGTTTAAAGAGAAATTTTACTAAAGTTCTGTGTTATGAGTTGATTCACAAATTTGTATTCTCTACTTAGAGAAGTGCAACGAGCATGAATTGGGAATAAGATATGGAAGGTCTGTCACTGCTTGAGTCACCTCGGGTCACGTCCAATAAAACACTGAAGGTAGGAATGAACATCAGATCATGTTTTTTAAAAAGTCTAAACAAAATCACTCTTCATATATACTATCAGAGCCCCCTGTTCCCTGGGTAAAGATTGAAGAATGAATGGTTCAGTTCTCCAAAAGCCACTGGGAAATGTCAGCACCATCTAGTTAATGAATTCCTGATTTGTTTGGCATTTGCACTTTCTTAAGAAATTGCTGATGTGTTTAGACTTCCTCTTCTCCTCAGCAGCAGTGAAATTTGTTGATTATGATGGCCTTATATAACATCATCCAGGCAGAAAGCTAAAAGATTACACATTAAAAAGAAACAGGCCTGTTTATTACCAGGCATTGTGCTTCCTCATATGCATATCTCTGTTCCTCAGTCTTTGCCCAGGTTGCTTTTGTGGGAGACGCTTTGTTGAAAGTATTTCCATGGCAGGCCTCCACTCATGAAATGTCATTTTCTCTGCCTGGTTGTGATAGGAAGTTTTTTTCACCTATTGAAACCTGTTAAATTTCCTTCAAATATTTTTGTTTAACTCTTAGAAAAACAGTTGGTGGAGGCCCATTTATAAAATGTAGATTTAATGAAGAATTGATGTTTGTATTAAAACAGTTTTCAAATAAACTTGCTCTGTAGTGCTGAATAAAAGCCTGCAATCTTTACAGATTTCATTCAAACAGGACAAACAATCCAGGCTGTCTCTATTCCACATAATTTGCCCCTAACTACTTTTTAACCATATGTTTGTTTTAAGGGACACTCCACTATAGGAAAGAATCCTGCCTACCCTGGTTTAGTTTGTATAAGGATCAACAGGGCAAGAAGCCACAAGGTTAAATTTACTCAATTAAAATTTGTTCATATGACTCTAAAGTAGACATAAAACAGATTTTTATATTCTCCACCTAAACATGATCACCTTGACCAGGCCACTAATGCAGGTTATACATAATATTACATAGTTCTTTGGACAGTAAATTAATTTAGTTGTCCTGCTTCCCAACCTTATTTATTCTAAAGGGACACAAGTCCTTCATAGGCAGCATATCCTGCATTTTGAGATCGTATTTCCTCTCCCATGTGTCTCCTGCATGTGCTTCATATTGTTTTTGAAACACAGTTTTCTACTCTATCTGGAAAAACAACTGCCCTATATTGGAGCAAAAGATAGTATCTAATAAGGAAAAAAGACAAGCTGACAGAATAATGCCCTGCAGAATAAGTAGCCACTCTGGTCTGCCAATAATTACCCTTACCAAAAACGCAGTAAAATTGTCATGTAATTGCAAAATAAGATGTTACACTTCTTGCTGATATTGGGATTTCACTCTTTGACATTAATTTGATCACTTTATAATCATTTATTTCCTTCTTTACTAACAAAATATTTTTGTGGTAGTTTTCTCATATACCTCTTAGACTCTGTTTTCTCTTAACCATTTCGTGTCTCTCTAGGCCTTCTCAATAGTCAGCATGCTTTTCTCCTAAGTGATTTTACTTTGTGAATGTGTTGAGAAGAGACCTTAATATTAATTACTATTAACTACGGGCCTGGCTATGTTTCTGGATCTCCCCGATGGAGAAGAAGCCTTAGCCTATAATTTGATGGTATCATAGTGTCATAGTCTGCTGTAACAAAATGCACCATACCAAGTGGCTTATAAACAACAGAAATGTATTTTTCATATTTCTCAAGGTAGGAAGTCCAAGATCAAGACACTGGAAAATTACGTATCTATGAAGAACTGCATCCTGGTTCATAATGAATTTTTTTTTTCACTGTGATCTCATGGCAGAAGAGGTGAGGGATTTCTTTTTTTCTCTTTTGTAAGGCCACTAATCCTATTCATGAGGGGTACACCCTGATGACCTGATCACCTTCCAAAGACCCTTACTCCTAAAATCATCACCTAGGGGGTTATCATTCTAAATGTGCATGTTGGATGGACATAAACATTCAGATCATAAAAAAAAACTAGTTACTGCAACACAATTCTCCAGGTGGCTATGTTTGTTTGTTTTCCCTTCTTTTCTTGGTGGTAGTTCTCAAGGATAACTGTTTAATATGCTATGAATGCAATTTCCTGAGATAGGAAGGAACTATCTGAAATAGACTGAACCTTGTTATTGTTCTTCCATGGGACTATAACAACTTGAGTTAGGGATATTTGTCCCCCTAGAAACCGGTATGCCCCTTTAGTCAGTGGTTCACATGGTCACAGAAGTATAAATATAACTCAGGGTGGGCTGCCTTTCAGGGTTCTTCAGCTGTGGAGCAAAGGCATGGGAAGCTGAGACACTGTCCAGCCTATGTAGCTTTCTTCAGTCTTTGGAAACTGGCTCACAATGGACTCAGTGGACCCTTTTGTTTCTGCTGCACAACTGTAAGTAATAAATTAGCTTCTTATAACTTGTTGTGTATGCCTGAGTGGACTCAGACAAGTTAGTAGCCAGTGCTCAGTAAAGCTGCTTTACAGTTACCTTGTAACTGTTACCCTGATGTCTCCCCGTCAACATCTCCAACCTGGAACCTGTTCCCAGTTGCTTCTGTGTCAAAAATAAGTTTAGAATGGAGTATCTAAGGGAAGATGGTCTGTTATAAGTCTCAACCAATCCATCAGCTTCTTTATTAAAACTGTAAAATACATTCTAAAAAAGAGGCTTTGGAAGCCTAGGCCATCTTCACACTTACAGAAAAAAACTCATTATCCCCTTTAGTAGCCTTTAAAACATCGCTGCATAACCCTGAGAAAGACTAAAGGTCATGACTACTGCTTTCAGCAAGATTTAAGAGCTGTTGACAATATTGTGTTTTCTCACTTCTCTGTAGACCTCAATTCTAACACCATTTCCCTCTCAGTCACAGAAATAGCTGCTCACTTTATAGTGGTAGATCCATGTTCAGTAGTCTTTAGAATAACATTGCATTCAGAATTATTTTATTTATTTGCATGCACTTGGAAAAATTGACAATACCACAGTTATTTTCCAAAGGTTTACAGAAACACCTCTTACTTATTGTAATCACATAATCATAACCTTAAAGACATCTAGTGTAGAGGCATCCAGTTTCTTCAGGACTCATTTTAACATATTTATAAATTCATATAACATAATTTTCACCATTTGTATCCACAGTACTGCCTGCTTCACTTTCTCCTCCCTCCCCAACCCCCTTTTTGTTTTCTATTGGTTTTTCTTCTATCCATTTATTTTTCAATTGGTACATTACAGTTATACATTAAAGTGGAATTCATTGTGATATACTCCTACATGCACATAACATTGTTCAAGTTCATCCCACAGTTCCTTTTCTTTTCCATCTTCCTCCCTCCCTATTTGATTCCCTTCCTCTGCTCTATTACTCTCCTATCTCTTTTCATGGGGACATTTTTAAAAATCCCTTATTTCTCTAGCTTCTGTATATGAAAGAAAGCATTTAACCCTTGGCTTTCTGAGCCTGACTTATCTCACTTCACATGATGTTCTTCAGTTCTATCCATTTACCAGCAAGTGACAAAATTTCATTCTTGTTCATTGCTAAATAAATTTCCATTGGAAAATACACATTTTTATATACTTATAGTTTCATTAAATATGATGGTCTTGAAGAATTTTTGGTCTCATAAGACAAACTACACACTGGATATATAACTTTTTTAAACTGAATGACCTCATATGTGATTTAATGAAAGCTGGCATGCCTGAGTCCTTGACCTGGATAAACTCACTAGAGACTGTCTCCTTTAACCTAAAAGGTTCTTAAACCACCATAAATGTGTCTCCTGTTTATACAAGAGAGATTGGGATAAGCTTTGGAAATACTAACTCAACAGGACAACAGATTATACTCAGACATCTCACCTATCCATCATAAATATTTTCTTACTGTTGTCTGGTATCTGAATAGTATCCACAGATTTGGGGCTGCAGTTGTAGCTCAGTGGTAGAACACTTACCTAGTATGCATGAGGCACTGGGTGTGATCCTCAGCAACACATAAAAATAAATAAATAAAATAAACGTATTGTATCCATCTACAACTGAAATACTTTTTTAAAATTCAGACATTTGTTTATTTGTTAGGGTCTATAAACAAGTCAAGATGGCGCCTGGCATTTTGCCAGAGGGAGTGGTTTGTGAAGTAACGCCAGTGAGCCATTAAGTGTGGAGATTCCTTATTGGTTGACTGCTGTATCTAGTTTATGTTAATTAAGATAAGCTGTGTGGAATGTATATATACCACTCCTGTCCTACAATAAACAGCTCCCACTTCTGCTGTACATCCCCCCCCCCCCGGGGTTATTTTGCTGCAGCTGGACTGCGGCATTTATTGATATAGATTTATTTACCAATTTTACCAGAACAACAGGGATTTTTTCCCTTCCATTTTTATTGGTGTGTTATACGTAATGATGGGATTTGTTGTTACATATTCAAACATGCGCACGCAATAACAATATTTTTGCTCAATATCACTCCCCAGCATTTCTCCCCTTATTCCATGCCTCTCACTCCTTGCCCCTTTCTTCTATTGTTTTCCATTTAATTTTCATGAGATCTACTCCCAAATTTCTTTTCCTTTTCCCTCTGTAGCTTCCACATGTGAGAGAACACATATAACCCTTGCCCTGAGTTTGACTTCTTTTGCTTCACATAATGGTCTCTAGTTCCACCAATTTTCTGCAAATAATATAATTTCATTTTTCATTATGGATGAATAAAACTCCATCATGTATATACACCACATTTTTTTTTATCCATTCATTAGTTGATAGTCACCTAGGCTGGTCCCATAGTTTGGCTATTGTGAATTGTGCTGAGACTCTAGTTGTCTGAATATTTTCCATTGTGCCCTTTCACATGTCCTTGTGCTATATAACTATTGCTGTCCACTGCTTCTTATTTATGACCTTGGCTTGTAATTGTTTCTGTCTTACTTGTTAAAACTAAATTACCCAAGCAATAGCTACAACTCTCTAAAACAATTTCTCACCTTTTATTTTTTATTTTTATTTTTTTTACCTTCTAGCTGCATTTCTGTGGACCCTAGAGCTCCATAAGAGCACACTTTCTGAAAGAACTTTGTGTAGCTATGTACATGGTTCTTGGATATAGGGTTCACATTCTGACCGATATCTAAATCTTATCTCTCACTTTTGAGGCATTTCCATGTCTTAGATATACCTTATAGGATCTGAGAGTCTTTCTTACATTCCTGTGACATAAAGAGACTACACTCTACCTGGCCCCTTATGACCTCTCGGCTCTTGACCAGGCAGAATAGTCCATCTTCTTTCCTATGTTGTGGCTTTGTGCTAGACACAGTCCCCTTAGATATAGGCCTTTTTATGTCATCTATAGTCAAGTTGATTTCTGTGATATTTACTTAGCCTTTGGGGACAAACAAAACTTAAACCAAGAGTAGCAACATTGTTTGGCTTCACCAAAATCTGAGCCATCAAGTTGTAACCACTGGAGTTCTCTCCCTTTTCTCAAGTATTTTCCACTGGAGAGTAAATCACTAGATTTTATAACTCCAAACTTCAGGGGGAAACAAGTCAAGTTTTTCAAGAGTTTCTCACCATGTACTTTTCCAATTTCAAGAGTCAATACAGGCATATCTTGTTTCACTGTGCCTAACTTTATTGTACTTCACAGCTAATGCGTATTGAAGGCTCATGACAAAAACAACAACAACAACAAAAAAACACATCAATATTAACAGGAATTCAGAAGTTGTTAATTCCAATCTTATGGGTGACTCAAGAAATGTAAGACTTCCGTGAAGAAAATAGCTGCAGAGTATAGTGGAAATAGCTGGGGAACTAGAATTAGAAGTGGCATCTGAAGATGTGAATGGAATGTTGCAATTTCATAATAACATTTTAATGGATGAGGAGGTCCTTTTTATGTGTGAGCAAAGAAAGTGGTTTATTTTTAAAGAACCCTGAAAAAGATGATACGTAAATGTTGTTGAGATGACAACAAAGGATTTAGAATAATATATAAATTTTGTTGATAAAGCTGCAGTTGAGTTTGAGAGGATTGATGCCAATTTGAAAGAAGTTTTTGTGGGTAAAATGCCATCAAACAGCATCACAATCTGCAGAGAAATCTGTAATGAAAGGAAGAGTTGATCAAGGTGGCAACGTTCATCATTGTCTTTAAGAAATTAGGATGGCCACAGCCACTCCAATCTTCAGCAACCACTACCTTAAGCAGTCATGGTTCATCAGCTGCACAGAAAACTCTCCACCAACCAAAAGATTATGTGGGCTGTGGCTGTAGCTCAGAGGTAGAGCGCTTACCTAGCATGTGTAAGGCACTGGGTTTGATTCTTGGCACTACATACAAATAAATAAAATAAAGGTTTATCAATAACTAAAAAATATTTTTAAAAAATTATGATTCACTGAAGGCTTCGATGGTTATAGCATTTTTTAGCAATAAAGTATTATAAAATTAAAGTAGGTACATTTTTAGACTTAATGCTATTGCACATTTAGTAGACTATAGTATAGTGTAAATATAACTTTAGTATACATTAGGAAATGAAAAACAAACCAAAAAATATCTCTGTGACTTGAGTTATTGCAATATTTGCTTTATTAAAGTGATCTGGTACCAAGTCTGCAATATCTCAGAGGTATACCTGTAAAAAGAAAGATATTTCATCAGTAATACTGAAGAATATAATGCTACAATTAACCTTCAAAAGTCAAAGAAACATAGCTACAACCTATAATCATATCCCTATCATACTACCTATTAAAAGTAAAGACAGAATAAAGTAATTTCAGACACACGGGGATTCAGAGAATTTACCTCTTATGTATAACAACTTCCTAGAAAGATTCTTGTGGATGTTCACCAAGCAAACAAGATAGTAAACCAAAACAAGAGGACATCAAGGGCATCAGGAAACATCAGTTCCTACTCAAAGAAGCAGGGAAGGACAGAACTCTTCATCATGCCTACCTTCTGAATTGGAGCAGAAAGTTTTCAAGATTTAAAAGGTTTCAACGTAATCATATTATGATTGAGAGTTCAAAAAAACTTGATGGTGTGCAAAGCACAGGGAAGACAATCAACATTTATTGTCCCACCAGATTGAGTTTCCTTTCTCACCAAAGGATCGGAACCATCACTGTCAATCATTGCATCCCAAGTATCTATCATAATTTCTGACACTCAGAAAACAGAACAAACATACTTTTAATAACTTATTCTTCTATAACCGGATATCTTTGTGGTTGAATTTGCCTTTCCTCTCATTTCATTTAGAGCTGTGCTGTTGTTCTTATGTGTGACACTAAATATCTGTGCCAACTGACAACTCTTATACAGGCATTTATGTTGATAGTTAAGTATAAAAGTAGTAATAAGATTATACAATTGGTAATCCAGTTATAGGGAATGTATAAAATTCAGATTCCATGAAATTGAGGCTATTGCCTCTGGGGTGGAGTCCAGAAATATGAATTGTTGACATTCACTGGAGGTGATTCTGATGCAAGTGACCTGTGTCCCCCATTATTAGACATTGTGCATTATGGACTTTACTGATTGATTCAGAGAGAATTCAATATTAACTGTAGACTGGGTGTTATTTTCCTTTTTCAAAGGCAGACAGCACATTTCCCCCTAAATTCATCACCTATTTTACCTTGAACAACTTGTGCAAAAATGAAACAGGAGTTAGTGTGAACAGATAATATTTTGTTTTTTTGAGAGAGTAAGCAGCACTGTCCCCCAGGGAGGGTAAAATATCAAAACTCTTTCATTTATTTTACTCTGTCTTGGTTAGGTGCCATAGTAGTAACTTAGATTCTGTACATCTAAATTTTACTCTTAACATTTCTACTCTTAATGTAGAAATGTTATGACTTATGACTTTCTGAGGAAAAAAAAAAGAAATCTGAGCATGAAGGAATAAAAATAATTTAGTTTGCTGCACTAACATGCCTGGATAGGACTGAAGTTGTATTGTTTAAATATAACTTCAAAAACCTATTAAAATGTTGGCTTCCCAAGTTTGACATTCTTTGCCAAATATTCCTAAGTTTTTCTATTCTAAATATTTCTACATAGTAACACACATAACTTTGTTCATTCATTTATAGATGTGTTTCCTTAAGAGGAGGTGTGTTAGTGTTCTCACTGTAGACGACAGGAGAGAAACTGCATTATTTTCCTTTCCAGGAAAACTAAATTGATGTGCAGAATGATTGTTTACTAGTAGCTGAAATTGCAGCAGAGGGGTACACTGCCTTATTAAGATGAAATTTCTGGTTTCATTTATTCCAGAGGAAAAAAAAGAACGCTATCCCCAAATAAGGATTAGTCTAGGGACTTGGTACATCAGTGCTGCCATATGGAATAGAGATGTGAGTGGGATGAATATTACAGCTCACTCTTTATGTTGGTTTATTTGTAGGTAGGAAAAAATGAAAAATTGGAGAAAGTATTAGTTCACATTAAAAGGTAAAACACGAAGAGGCCACTGTCAGTTCAGGCTATGCTTGCTGATTTCCAAATAACAACCCTGTCTCTGGAGTCATTAAAAGTATTGCTCTCCTGAGAAGAAGCTCAGGTTTTCTTGCCTTCCAAGCTGAATAAACCTGTTGTATCACTTTGTCATTCTTTATGATAACAGTGGCCCTGGGGATCTTGAGGTTTGCTTTTTTAAGAAAGCTATCAAAGATTCTCTATGCCACCTCCTTTACAAAAAAAGATGTACTCACACACATTTAGTAAAAATTTTTAAGTTATAAACCTAGTCAGTATTTCAAAATTTTAAATTAACAACTCTGTAGAAGACATCTTTGGAAGTAGTGGATATGATTAGTTAACATTTATTTGCAAGATTTTTTTATATAAAATATCATTTTGTTCTTCTGAGATATAATATTTTTAAAAATCCAAGTGGAATATATATTATTAATCTAGAAAATATATGAATATGATGTCTAACATGGTAATAGATAGCAGGTGACATATTAATTTGAAGTATTGTTTTAATACTTTTCAGGGACAAAACAGTGCTGTACTACTAAGAAGTTCATAAAAGACAGGTACGTGGAGTCTTCTTCACTTGTGCTTTTCCTGGGCAGACTGGAGATGTCCTTTGCCTGTTGAGGATGTTTTGGGAAACAGCAGATGCAGAGGTTGACCGGAAATGCATTTCCCTGAGACCTGAGATGTAGTGGATCTCCTTTATGCACTCTATACTATAAATTGGGAGGACAGAACAAAGTTTCCTAAGTGACATGCATTCAGTTATATTTAGGGAGGAATTATGTTACATAAATTTAGGGAACATTTGGGGGGAAACAGGGTTCTCACAAACCACGCTGTTCTATTATTTGGGGCAGGTAGGGTTGAAGCTGAGTAACACTGTCAGCATGCCTGCTTAAGAGTGTACTTTTTCTGGGCACCATGGCTCATGCCTGTAATCCCAGCTGCTCTGGATGCTGAGGCAGGAGGATTGTAAGTTCAAAGCCAGCCTCAGCAATGGCAAGTTGCTAAGCAACTCAGTGAGATCCTATCTCTATTTTTTTAAAAAACACAAAATAGGCCTGGGGGTGTGGTCATGTGCCCCTGAATTCAATCCTTGGTACTGGGGCCAGGGGGAAGGGAGTGTAATTTTGAAAGGCTTTCTGGGTTCAGACAGTCTGGTGTCCCCTTCCTGGTATTCATTTTCCCAAGAGCATCTAGCAACTTAAAAAAATCTTTTGCTCTTCTGAAGTGTGTTTTACAAGATCTTTTAAAGTATGAACATAAAAAATGTATGGATATGATTTTTTTGGGCCATTAAAATAATTTTATTTACATTGATTGGGTTTCAGTATTGTTTTGGTAGACAATGGGAAGATAACTGATGCAATTCAAAAATTTCTACTCTTTCCATCTGTGTTAACTTTGAGGGGCTTTGTAAGACCCCCCCTCCCCTGGATTTAGGAAAAAAATGTGTCCATTTAAGTAAAGTATACATTTCTTGGGTTGATGCAAAGGAATAATTAATGGGCTTTTAATCAAGGATATTAGGGGAAATAGTAGCTAACTTAAGAGGTAAAAAATAAAAATATAATTTAAGAGTAATCAGGTTTAGAATATTGGTAAAGGCTCATTTTTCCACCCTTTTTCTACTACTGGGGCATAATGTTATCAGCAATAAATGTTTTGCTTAGACATATTTGGTGATTCTAAAGAAGAATGAAAGCTTTTTTATTTGTGACCCTTCTCAACATAGTTAAGTATTTAAACTCTCACTAATATGCTACATTTAAATTTTTTTTTTATCTTTGATAGCATGCTGTATGTACAATTAAAAGTACATTAAGGCCTGGGGTTGTGGCTCAATGGTAGAGAGCTTATCTTGCATGCATGGGGTACAGGGTTGAATCCTTAGCACCATGTAAATAAATAGAATAAAGGTATTGTGCCCTTTTACAACTAAAAAAATAAGTATATTAAAATAAAAAAATCAAGGCAAGAAAAATTTCAAATTAAGAATTTTGTAGCTCATTTTTTGGCCTTTAGAAATTGCAATTTTGCACCTATTTTATTATATTTTATTGTTTATTTTTATAACATTATTTTTATTCTGTTAAGCTTTTTATGCACATTTTGATTCCTATTGAAATGGAATTAAGTCCTGTAATTTTTCAGCTTATTTCCTTTTACATCTAGGATAATTATTGGGGTAAATAAAAAAATGGGGATATTCTGGTACCAGATTTTAAAATGAATAAAATTTAAAGTCACAGGCAAAAATATAATAAGTAGACTGATATGAATTTAAAAATCTTAATTATATGTAGCCATACTCAAAAACACTGATTTTGTTTAGAGATAAATTTATTATATCTTTCCTATGCAATTTATTATATCTTTCCTATTATGTTTATACTTAAGCAGTTTTCTAAAGTAGTTTGCTTATAATACAATGTCATCATTACTTCAAAAAAATTTAATATAATGAAATTGAAAGTTCATTAAATTTTTTACCAAGGAGATTGAAAATTGGAAGAATTATACTAAATATGTATATACTCACACAGAAAACTCATAAGCCATAGTAAATTGATAATTTATAATATTACCACTACTAAAAATGTATATAACAACTATATTTAAGATTATGTGACATCCACACTATGGTACCAATTCCTATCCTTTTTTTAGTATATATTTTTTAGCTGAAGGTGGACACAATACCTTTACTTATTTTTATGTGATGCTGAGGATTGAACTCAGTGCCTCACACATGCTGGGCAAGTACTGTACCACTGAGCCACAACCCCAGTCTCCTATCCTGTTTTTTAAATGATGATTTTTTTAAACCTGTTTCTTCGTTGTAGCATTTTTTATACCATACAGTTTTTAGTTCTCATAAATAAAGATTTTGTGTTTTAGATGAACTTTTTGAGGAATATAAAGCCCAATAGAGCCAAACTGCATAATGGGGATCGTAAGCACTAGATCTTACAATCCTCTAACTCTCAGGCCACATGACTTGAGCCCTTGCAGGAAGTTCTTGAATAAAAATGTTTTCATCCCATTGGCTCATTAGAAGAGTTTTAAATGCTTCCGGAGAACTATTGTCATTTTATTCTTGTCAGACTCAACCCAGGTATCCTGCTTGCTGTTCCTCAATTTGAATTGGCCTCAGTTTCCTCAGTTCCCTGTTATTTACTAACTCTGTAATGCTTATGATGATAGTGTATCTATAAAATGTCAGGAGAGCTGGAAAAAAGTTCATTCAAATATTATAAAAAAGGAAAAATACACATTAAAAAAAGGCACACATTAACTAGCATTGTACAATGTTTAAGCACAAAATAATGTGTTACCTTACAGTAAGAGCAATTAAATACAAATACAGTAATTAGTTCATTGAGGAAAGTATTTGCTTCCTTAGGTAAAACTCAAGTTTTATTAACAATAAAAATTACAAAGACAAGAGATAGACCAGCATATGAATATGTTATAAGGGAGCTAGCTTTAAAATATATACTCATGGGAGCTGAGCTTTTGAAGCACAGTTAAATCAAAAGTTTCATACATTTCTTGTTGTAATTTTAAAATTATATTTCTCCCAAATATAGTTTTTTTTTAAATCAGAAAACTTCACATTAATATCAACTTTCCAAAACATATTACCATATAAACTTTAAAAATGGCAATTTGATTGGGGTAACTTTTGCCTTCAGTTAACTACATGGAATAGTATAATAATAGTTACCCCAAATGCCAGTATATCTTTTGAGTATGCACTTTGAAGCTAAGCCATGGTCTATTTTTAGATGATGATATTATGGATCCCCACATCTGTTCAACCAACATAATGTGCCTGTTCTACTCCCACACTGAAAATAATGTGTGGTAAGGCATGAGGATTTAATATTAATTCTTTTTGATTATATAGTTTAGGAAAACTGATTACAGTTCAAAGGAGAACTAAATCCATTTGTTCCCTCTATCTTAATTGGACTATTTGGCTTCTTTTATATAATATAAAATAGTAAGTTTATTTCTGGACAGGTTTGGACAAACATAATCAATTAATTGGTATTGTGCTTCTATAGCGAAGACCCCAGCAGAGAGAAGGCTGTTTGACATGACAATGATGAGCTGTGGAATATGGGAAAAGACATTTTACAACATATATTTATTCAGAAATGCATTGCAAGACTAGCCTGTTGAGGAAGAACAGTCTTCCAAATCATATATAAGTTTTCAGTAGTATGGGAGGTATAGAAGATAATTAAGAGTGTAAGAAATATTCAGAACCTAATAGACTTGCAAAATACAAGTGGGTAATAATATAACTTTTCGCCACAAAATTTTCCTATCTTGAATTCATCTTGGTTGGAATGCAGGCTATTTTTCTAACTGTTAAGTGCAGTATATTTTGAAGCTTTGTAGAGTGGCTCTCCTTACAATGGAAGGAGATACTTTTCTGCATGTAAATTTTTAGGTTGTTTATTGTTTATGTTCAGATGCATTTCCCACTATTTCCTACCTTCTTTTATTTTTTCCACATGTAATATTAAACACAATAATAGGAAGGATTTTAAAACATGTGTAGTATGTTAAATTTTCACATCTTGACTGTCATCCCCATTTAGTTTTCCTTGTTGGAAGGACAGACCAGAGAAATGGTACATGATTAAAGCATTATTGTCTTTGAGTCCACCTGATGAGCTGTGGTGTCATCTAGACTTGCTCCTTCAATGCAATATGTTTATCTGGCTAAATAGATCAGTTTCCTTGTTCATATACCTATGGTTTAAAGCTTTGATATACTTGCACTTTTCCTTTTTATAAAAACTCAAGTTGGAGAATTCTGTCTAATTGAACTGAGTCAGTCCAAGAGGAAGGGGTGTCGTAATAAACTACCGAGTACACATTACATAGAAAGAAATGCTTGTTGGCTGTAGTCAATGAATATGGACTCTAGGGAGCCCTTTGAAGATCTGGGACATATTATTTATTATTGATGACAGTAGTAATGGATACTTTGTAAGAGGGTTTTTTTTTTTTAAGGACATTGGACTTCTTTCCTCCTCCTTTGAGTCTTGGCACTAATTTTGTCTCCCCATCTCCTTGTCTTTGTTAGAAGCAAAACCTACCTTTTCAATATGTAATATGTGGGCCACAGGTAATATTTTTGCTGCAGATTGATTTTAAAACATAATTTTAAAGAATAAAAATGTTTTTTTAATTTACATACTCAAAGATACACTGGCATTCTTTACTTGATAGGTTGCATTGTAAATACTACATATAGAAAATAATTCTGATTATTATGAAGGTGACTATATTTGTCATTGAGACAATTTCAGTTCCTAAGGAAATCTTTCAAAGTGACATGTGGCTATTGTGCAAAACTTGGTTTTATAAGTTGTAACCTGACCAAAACAATGTGAAGCTATCTACAACAGCTTAAAAATGTTAGATGTGCCACAAGTGGAGCATTACATTTCAATGTTGGTATTTTTGGTTCTCCTCAGGCCCTCTGCAGTGCCACTGCTGACTTCTGGATGGTACTGCAGAAATTTAATAGTTCAAATTTCAGGCACAATTTGTTTTGGTGTTGTTGTTGTTGTTGTTGAAGTGTCAGACCTGTTTTAATGGGAACTAAAACCATGCAACTAGTCAGGTGCAAAACAGTTTATAGGAAATATCAGAGAAGTAGGAGAATGGAGATTGCAACAACAGACTTTCATTTATAGCCTCAATTTACATATTCAGATCATCATGTTCTTTCAAAATAACAATGAAACAACCCAATAATCAAGTACATAAATGGAGTTCCTTATGTGATTCATTTGCCTGTAGGTAAGAAGGTATTTGAAGTAGGATATGATCACCTTTGCAGAGTAATAACAAAGCCTGTGCTATAATAGCATCAAAGAGGAAAAGAACCTTACAGGGGTTCTTTCTTTCACAAAGCAAGCAACCTTATCCAGTGTTGGCCAGCATATACCTTGGGATGAATAAATACAGTTGTGAAAGACTGCAGAAAAGTGCCTGAAACTTATAGTCATACACTTGTGATAACCGGAAGACAATGTCATTTGCTGAACAGATACAAAGGGGAAAAAATGACATTAATAAGAATTTGTAGTTCCAAGTTTTAGCAGGGTTGTAGAAAGCTGAAAACCTTGGTAACACGCAGAACTATGATTATCTTTGTTCATGCAATAGTGGGATATTTAATTTATTGCTAATAATGAAGTCTCTACTCCTATTTATTCTTCTCTTTGCTTGTTTATTTTTCTCTAACTACCATATTTATACATTTTGACTCTATTTAATTCTGTATGTCTATGCTTAGTGTTATCAAAGGTGTCTCATTCCTGTTGTGCTTAAGGCAGAGAGGTAAACTGCAGGCAGGCCAAGCAGAGTGCATGGAAACGGCATGAGAGACATATTGTGCATTGGGGAAGCTTACAAGAGATTAGTGACTGCTCCACGAAGAGTTCTGTGGCTATAGGCTCAAAGATAGCACCTCTGTCTCTCAGGATGTTTTGCCAAGCAGTGAGCTCCTCCTCTCCTTCATGGTATTTTGTCCAGTGGTGACTGGCTGGACAAGTGACACATATTCTTTCCACAGTGCCCTTGGTTCTGTGACCATTCCTGTTCAGAGAAGGGTCTTATATCTTCCGCTGTAGAAACTGTGACATCATGAGCACCAACTTGCATAGTTTGCTTGTCTGACCACCATTCCAAGGAGCCACTGTCTTAGTATACCTGAAAGTAAGTAGCTTTCTACAAGATATCACTAACTTGCCCTGGTTCCCACTTTGCGTAAGAGAAAACCAGTGCCCTTGAAGATAATATGTATCTGGACTTTCTGACCTAGGCTTGTTTTTACTGTTCCTTTAACTTGACTAGGCTTTTGTGAACATAAAGGGGACATTTGGGGACATGGTGTTTTACTGTCCCCCTTTTCATATGATAAGGATGATACAAAAAGTTTTTCAGTTACCTATTTATCCAGAGTGTAAAGATAGAGCTTGAATATTGTCTATATCAAAAACTTTTACCAAATAAGTCATACAATTGATGAAATGATACAATGGCAAAAATTGAAGTGCTTTCTAAAACCTAAATAAAAAAAATCACAATCCCTAAAAATTTGTGTGTACTTTAACCCATGGGAAAGTCCAGATATAATAATACCTAAAGTAGTGTCAGACTGCTTTTATCATCTTTCTTATTGTAATTAAAACCAGCCTAGTAACAATTGCAGAAATATCCCTCCAAAGGAATACTTAAACAATGTGACTTATTCAATTTTCTCCATATACTTAATATATGTTAATCAAAGGCATTTGTGTTTTAGCTTAATTTACTGTCATGAAAATACATTATGATATTAAACTTTTTTAGGCATGAAACCCTATCTTTATTCTTGATCATAGGCAAAAGGCTATGGTTTTAATAAGCTTCACTTGTTATAGTTCACCTTTTAAATTATTCTTCATGAAAATAGTTTTCTTTTTTCTTTTGGCAAGAAGCAATGAAATGCTAATTTTATAAGGTCAATAGGTTAATCCCTAAGGATTTACTAGTAATAGAAACCTATTATGTTTCTAAGGTAGACATCATCTGTATTTTAGATCATATGCAATTGGTGAGCTATGGATAGCAATGTTTCCCATTTAGACTATTGTAGGATGAGTCACACAACTGTGTGGAGATCTGCAATTAGCAACTTAACTTCTGCCTCAGTAATTGTTGCTTGTACATATACAGTCAATAAGCAGCAAGCTCCTTGAAACATGCATTGTGTCTCATGTTGTATCTCATTAATTTTACATATATATACATATATATATACACACATATATGAGCATAATTATACATCGTGTTTGAGTTCCTTTTGAAAAATTATACATACAAAGAATTTGATTTCAATCCCCATTCCCCTCCTCTTTTCTTTCTCTCTCTTTCCCCCTTTTCACTTTCCTCTATTCTACTGATCTTCCTTTTACTCTTTATTTATTTTTGATTGCTTACTTTTAATACCTTATTGTTCTTTCAGAATACACTGTGTCAAATAGTTATTTGATAAGTGTTTATTAAATGAATAGATGTATAAAAACTTACACTTCATGTATTTGTGAGCAGTGTTACTAGAGAAAGCAGGGTTTATTAGAAAGACAACACTGCACAGATGAAGACAAGACATCTTGAAAATTTTAAAAATATTCCTATATTCCAGTAAACCTAACTCTTTCCATGTGAAATTCCTTTTATTATGACATTTGTTTCCAAAGTAACATTACATTATTGATTCAAATCTGTTGTTCAATAACTGCTAAATTCCACTTCCTTCAGGCAGGTTTTCCCATTTCCCCCACATTTTCCTCTGAATTTCCATTTTAATTTTGTCTGTGTGTTTTTACTGTAACACTTTTCCTCCTTTCAGTTTTTCTTACTATTTTATGCCTTATATTCATATATATGTTAGTCCTTTTATTTTTTCTCCTAGACTGATAGCTCCTTAAAAATAGGTTTTACATTTGTTTCATTTTAGTAATCTAGAGGCACTTCATAGCACATATTGATAATTCACTAAACTTAATGGATAAATCAATCATTAACAATTTATTAAGTTCCTAATGTGCATATAGGAGTGTCTTAGACCCTAAGAATTAAAAGGAGAGAGAATCAGACATAACTTTACTATGTTCATAAGCGAATATACAACAAGTGAAACTCCACATGATGAACAATCACAAGAATGGGAACCTAATTAGAATAAATTATACTCCATATGTGTATAACATGTCAAAATACACTCTATTATCAAGTATATTTAAAAAATAAAAATAAAAAATAAAAAGGGGGCTCTTGTTCTAAAGGAATATATAATATAGTAGGTGGGAGAAATGTACATAAGTATGTAACAATGGGCATTTATGGGTTCACATTTTCCCACACTGTTTATCTTTCTTTATATTTAGGGTTTTTTTTTTGTTTGTTTGTTTTTTTGGTACTGAGGATTGAACTCGGAGCACTCAACCACTGAGCCACATCCCTAACCCTATTTTTTCTTTTCTTTCTTTCTTTCCTTTTTTTTTTTTTGTGTGTGTGTGTGTATGTTTTATTTAGAGACAGGGTCTCAGTGAGTTGCTGATGCCTTTCCGTTGCTGAGGCTGGCTTTGAACTTGTGATCCTCCTGCCCCAGCTTCCAGAGCTGCTGGGACTACAGGTGTGCACCACTGCGCCTGGCTAGGAGTTTTTGTTTGTTTGTGGTTTTTTTTTTTTTTTTGGTTTTAATAAGCTTCACTTGTTATAGTTCACCTTTTAAATTATTCTTTATGAAAATAGTTTTATTTTTTTCATTTTGGCATGAACAGGATTCAAATTGATAAGGCACACTGGCAGTGGGGCCCCAAGCAGTCCTGGGTCTAAGTTCTCTGCACCCTGAATAAAAGCTGAGCAAGACAGGAGAGGTTGGCTAGCAAGGTAAAGTCTTACTGAGAGCAAAAGTTCACTCTGGTAGAGCAAAGTGGGTTGAGCTGCAAAGTATCTCAGCCTACAGAGAGCACCAAGTACCAATTATATAGGTGCTTTATTATTTCTTTGGATTTACAGGATAGATTACTCTCATGTAACTCTGTGAGGCACACTGAGTAAATGGACTATCTTCTGACTCTAAATATCCCCAGCTTAAGCTTTGAAACACTAACAGTATATATGGGGAATAAAATCTATGTGCTTATTTTAGGTGGTGTCACTTGCCATCTAAGTGGTGGTGGCAGAGAACTTAAAAGAAGCTAATATGATTTTTTTTAAGTTTTCCCTTTCCTGCTTCTAGATAATTAAGCGGTTTTAGAGGATTCTAAAGCACCACAAACAACAGTTAGATCTGAGCTTTGTAACTACCCTGTGAAGGAAAACAGCCCAGGGGGGAGAATGGGATCTTCAAGCCTGACCCTTCTGCTCCCTAGCGTATCAGTTCTGAGAGCACCTACAAGCTTCCAGAACTAAAAAGCACTGCAATTGGTACCTCTTTATTCCTTTTGTCATTATGTAACAAATTTTCAGCTGTTTTTAGAATATTTCAAAAACTATGTTTTAGATGATAGGTGTTTTAAACTACTAAATAGAGTATTGATGTGTGGGCGGATATTTGTCTCCTTTTTGTACTCTGCAGCTGAATGCCTGAGGCATCTGCAGCTGAACAGTGGAAGAGATTTCAACAAGAGAAGTCTGTAACCATGCCAGCCAGCAGTCAATCTCTTTCCCTCCTGCCCTTCTCTCTGTGAGGTGTATTTATAGGCAATCAGGTATGCACATGTGTGCATGCACATATATGCACACATATGTAGGGAAATATTCTGATGTATGCACAAATTAAAATTTCTCAACTTTACATTCATATTTTTTGTATTTTAATATTTCTGATATCTGAATAGGTAAAGCAAGCAATGATCACGTATAACGTTTGTCAAAAAGCTTCGATAATTCAAGCTAAAGCATCTTGTAATTAATGACATTTTAAGAGAGAAAGTGTGTATGATTTTCTATTTTTTTTTTTTTTGCCTAAAGTTTTTTGACTCCAAGGTATCAACTTGGCCTATTCTGTTCTGTTTCTTTATTATGCATGCTCACATATTTTGAATTTCCAAAAGAATGGGAAACAGTGGCCCATTCCACTTTACTTGAAAGAAACCTTGCTTAAAAACATGTGTAAATATGTTGCAAACAAATGAAGGAGATTACTATTTAGAGCAAAAGTATTTTGAATTACTTCATAAGTGAGTCTTTTAAGTAAGAGAAGAAACCAACATATTTTGCTTTTTAAATTTTAAGGCTACTTAGACTGGATTTGATAAACTCTCCTTGCTTATGTCAGGAGTGCTTCTTGATGTATTTAGGTTTAGATAATTTAGACACAAACTGGGACCTGAGAGCTGGGCACATGTTGGCCTCACCAATTGTCTTTTGAATAGAATGGATTTAAATTAAGAGGCTTTGTTAATTCCCAGTTTATATGGTTCTGTACTATGACAAAAATGTCATTATTCTACTAACACTTTTATTTTTTTTTGTTTAAGATACTTAGTAAGAAAGAACAAAGTCAATCCTCATGATAATAAAATTTTAATTCCTTTAGGGAGAAATTTTTTAAAGTATATTTTGGATAAACAAATTTATTTGTTGAAGATGAAGCTCAGTGGCAGACTGCCCTGGATCCAGTCGCCAGTATTGAAAAGAGAGAGAGAGAGAGAGAGAGAGAGAGAGAAAGAGAGAGAATTATTATTATACTCCAGACCAATAAATCCCAAGAGCAAAATATACAATAAATTCCAAACTAAACTTCATGGATTGAATTAAATCTTGCAATACTGGTATTCATGTGGTATCCAGCCACATGAAGTCAATATAGTGAGCTTTTCAACATACAAGAAAGAAAATTGGTTTAAATATAATATCTCAAAATAGCACCACTTGCAGCAAGTGTATAATTTGTGAAGTAATTGGGTAATTAATTGAAAAAAATGTTGATCAGTGTACAGAGCTTGTCCGTCTTTCAAAAAATGGAGCATATAGTAGAATGCAAATGCATTTCTTTTCTGAGGCTTTGAATATTAATTTTACAAACTATTTCAGTTCGTCCAATTTTTAATGGTAAAGACACATTTTAATTCACAGAGGAATTTTCTTTTGACAATGCAAATGTTACATTTCGTGTTCTTTTAAAGTTAATACAAATTCTTATGGAATATTTCCCAACATTTTAGAATATTTTCACCTTTCTTTTATTTCTCCTATCAGTGCTTTCTTTCCTTTATATTTTCCTAATACCTTAAAGAAACATGTTCAATTCAATATGATTGTGTATTACTTATAATACAACTTGATTGCTTCAACCTTTATTATTTGGTATTTTCCCTTCCATTTACTCCAGGTATCAACTTCACAGAATTCCCATCCTCAATGATAGTGCCAATCTCTTTGATACTGCTGCCCTTCTTTGCAAAATGCCTGTGTTCCTCCAGTTTCTGGACTCAGTCATCTTTTCTCCTTTGCTAGATCATCCTCTAGTCACCCTTCACTTCCTCACTCAAACACAATCTTCTCTGAAACAATATCCTCTTACCTTTCTCCTCTGAACTCTCCTTTTATGTGTCCCATTGTGTAGATGGGGTTGTCTCCTAAACTACTCAAAGGAGAAACCCAGGAGTAATGAAAATCCATATTGTCAGTACGGAGCACAGTGATAAACTATACTCAATAATGTTAGTTGATTTTGAATTTTTTTTTTGAGAAAAATTTTAGTCTTCAAATTGTAAGGGACACAGAGAATGCTAAAATACTACTAATAATAAATAAAGGGTCAACAAAAATATTTCTTTGCCATGCTAACTGGGTATTTTATTTTCTTCTCTCTAAATTTTTATCCTGGTATAGCTCCATGACCTACTGATTAACAAGTACAATTTTTTTTGCCTGTTTCCAGGCCTAGAGGCAGAGTCCTAGCCAAGATACTGACATTGTCAAGAATGACCATAGGAAAAATTGCTTACATTTGTTTTTCTTCTTTGTAATTAGAATAAAAGTGCCAACCAACCACAGAGGTTTTGTTGTGAGGAACACATGATATTGTGTAAAGCTCACAGGACTATGCTGTCATTCAGTAAACATGATCTATTGAAATTATCACTGCTTTTGTTCCTCTTTTAAAATTTCTGGTTTTTCCCATACTAGATCCTGAGCTCTGTTTTGCACGAATATTTTTATTTAAATAATTAAATTACATGCCATTGGCCATTTAGATGGCATCTATTCAATTCTATATTATTGGCACAAGTTAAGGTAGAGAAACTTTTTGAGATTAAGAGTTCTTGATAAATCACTGGTAGTTTCAGTGAAACCTCATCCATCTGATTTAACCTGGACTCATTGAGCTCCCCTTTGAATAAACACAATTTTGCTCTTCTAGTTAAAGTCAAATTTATGTCCTATGAAGAACAAGAATTCTCGTTTTCTTTTCAGATACCACAATATAACATTTTCCATGTTTTTTCACAAAGACAGTACAATATTGTGGGCAAGTATCACTTTCACAAATTGATGGTGCTCTCTGTTTCTCACATTAGCATCAGCAGCTGAGTTTAGATGAGCAGATGATTTCCCATTTCTTGAGGCCTGAGCCCAGGGACGGCATTGCTTGTTCCTCTCAGCTTGGGGCATCTTAGACTCCATGCTACTGACACTGACAAAAAATGGGTACCATTGTGGGAACTAAGTTACACAACTCTGGAAAGAGACAAAGGATAGAGAGGTGACATTTTTACCGAATTGATTTTTAACTCTCGCTATATTTTTTAAAGTTCAGTGGGGTTTCTTCCGTTTCCTTCTTCAGATCATTCCTGAGACCCTCTGAGCCTATACATCATTGTCTTTGTGCTGAGAACTGTTGTTATATAAAAAAAAAGAAAGAAAGAAAAGAGAGGAAAGGAAGAAAGAAAGAATGGATGGATAATATAGGGACTATGACCCATGGGGCATGTAATAGGAATCTAATTGGCACAAGAGAGAGGAAGATGATAATGAAAATGTTAATTTCCTCCAAGCAAATAACACTACAACTTATATTTTCTTGGACTATTAAAACAAGTGTTCAGACTTTGGACCAGAAGGCCATTTTATTGCAAAGTTGTTAAAGTGGTTATTTTGAGAACAATAAATGATGAGGACATTTGTCTGTCCAACCCAGGCAAACAGTTAATAACCAAAATCATGCCTTCTTTCATTTTTTAAAGCAATCATTTAGTGAACAAAATTTACCCACCACTGATACTACTCAGTAATTATACATTAAATGCCTTTGGATTCTTCCGTGAGTTATCAAATTATCTTGCATCAAAGCCTGAAAGAGTACAGCTTTCAAATATCCTTGTTTTTGACCAAAGAACACCTTAAGCATTATAAGATTTTGATTTATAATAAGAATTAATTAGCAAATATTTGCTATTAATTTAATTTTAAGGAATATGGAAAAAATAAAAGTTAAATGAAAACATACTATGGATGCAAAATCTAGTGGAATAATGGAAAAACAAATAATAATAAAGAACACTATGACCAGAACAGTATTCAAGCCACTTCCATTAATATACACAATTGTGTGTCAGCTAAAATTAAGTTTAATTTAAAAATTAAAAAAGAAAAAAAATGAACCTGGAAAAATTTACCGCCAATTGTTTATGATGGGCAATTAGAATTGGTGGCATTACAGCAGAGTGAAAAAGTTTATTTTGTATAAATATGTCAAACATAATGTATTAGACAATACTAAGAAGCATTTGTTTTGCAAAATAAAGGATTATATTTAATACTTAAAAGAGAATTAGTAAAAATGAGTCTTCTGAAATCAGAATTAAATTTCTCCCAATTTTTTTTTTCTGGGGGGCAGGGAGTACTGGGGATCAAATCCAATGCCTCATACAAGCCAGGCAAGTACTCTGAGTTACACACCTAGTCCTCTTCTAAAAGTTGTTATTTTGATAAATATTTCACTGCTAGCCACATTGTTTTCAACATTGTCACAACCAACAGCTCATTTACTTGCATTGATGTTGGCACAAGTGTGACCCTGGATTTAAGTCCATTTATCATCTAATATTATTTATTTGATGTCTTTCTTTCCTTCCTTCTTCCTTCCCTCATTCTCCCCTCTTTTCCTTGCAGTGGTAGAATACTTGCCTGGCATATGCAAGACCCTGAGTTCAATCTTTAACACTGCATCCTGTTTGTCTACTTGTACTTATCAAGTAACAAATAAGGATCTCTATTATTATTTTTTTTCTGATTTCTTAGCAATCATAACATTGGGTCTCCATTTCAATTCTCCTACTTTTCAACATCTTCAGCCTATTAAGAAGACATTTTAAATTCTATATATTAATTGCAAACTTCGTTTTTTTGTGTTTATCCTTTCCTTAACACATTGGCCAGTTGTACCAACTAAGAAATATTGTGTTTTGTTACAGGAGCATGAAAGAATGTGGGTTTCCTCAGAAGTTCTGGCCATTCAGTAACATCCATTAGGTGCTTTCATTGCTCTGCAGAGGACAGGCACAAAATTCCTGATCTGAAGCACCTGATTCAGAAAGAAGCTTACCCAGAATATGTTCACTTTCCACAGCATCCTAGGGAGAAGTTGGAGGATACACAAAATATCCCCACCAAGGAAAGGAACACAGAGCTATAATTGTGAAGAAATAATTTGTGCTCGTGTGTGTAGCATGCACACACAAATATATGTGCAATTCTGTCTTCTACTACATGAAAAACCAAGAAATGAAACCAATAAAGAAATAAATTTTTTATTTTCAGAGAGGGTCTCAAAAGGTAGACCTCGGACTGGAAATTCTCTTGTGTTAGTTTCCAAAGAAGTGGGGATTACAGGTGTGTGCCTAGCCCAAATATTTTAAAAATATCTCCACCCCAGTGGTGGGGATCTAACCTAGGGCCCCTCACATACTAGGCAAGAACTCTACGACCGAGATATACCCTGATCCCTAAAACAACTTTTTAAAAATTATTTTTAGTTGTAGATGGACACAATACCTTTATTTCATGTTATTTATTTTTATGTGGTGCATCACACATGCTGGGCAAGCACTATACTACTGAGCTACAACCCCAGCCCCTAAAATAACTTTTAACAGGTTTTGAGTTTATTATTTTGGCCATTTACATATTGTCTAGTACTTGTGCACAAAAAATAAAAATATTTTTAAATGGAGTCAGGAAGAGATGTGGCTAATTTATGACTACTCCTCTCAAAGTCAAACATCATAGTCCAGATAGTTTTGAATATTATATCTATCAAAGAGTAGGTTTTAACTAGCTATATAATAGTTAGTCTGTATAACAGTGGATGCTGTTAGCTATGTTAGGTAAAAAACATATTTTAGGAGTTTTAAAACAGGGGATTTATATTTCTCTTATCATTTTATTCTTCTGTATAATACATATGGAAAATATTTTTGTTTAGACTTGTAAAGCAGAATCTACAAAAAGGGCCATAGGTAGATTTGTTAGAATCAGTCATTATTAATGAGTAAATACTATGAATTATTGTCAGTTTGTGAAACTCTTGGGGAAAAAAAAAAACAATAGACCTAGTGATCCTGTGTTCTTTTCCAGTACCCATTGGTTGAATCTTGGAAGGAGTTTACAAAGATTTACTGTTTTGAAAAAATTTGTTGATAATTCAAAGCAAAGACTTGGAAATTTGAAGTTTCTAAGTTTATCTGTTACCTAATTAAGCAGGTACAAAATGTTGACATGAAAATTTTCATAATACAAAACCATAATAATGATTTACATTTTAAAAAACATGAATCAATACAAAGATTACTTAAATTGTAATTTATGGTGTTATGAAAATTGGCTGCAAAAGGCTAACAGAAATTTTGGAAGAATTTTTTTAAAATATACATTTGGAGCTTTTTAATTCCACATGCCCTTTTAAATTTGTTGTTAATGATACATTAACATAATAGTTAATGATACTTAGATAATGATAGTTACCATTAGAGTTTTTGAGGTAAATTAACTAGAACACACATAACTTCCGAAATGGATGTATTTTTTTTTGTATTCAAGAGTAATAAATGAATTTTTCTAAAAGATGAGCTAGTTTTGTCAACATGAATACAGAATTAGAGGAATTTGTTTTGCTACTCAATTTAATTGTTTCAAAATTTAATAATTTTTGTCACACTGTTGGTATGGGAATCTACTATTTCAACTTTATATTTTATTAAAACTGAAGTATTTCTAATGAAAATTTAGTGTCAGATTGAGAAGCACTAGAAGCCTAAAATACATAATAGATTTTTAAGACAGTCTGAAAAACAATGTAAAATATCCTGCTAATAAGTTTTATGTTAATTACATGTTGAAGAGATTATTTTGGATCTATTGAATCACAAAACATTACTAAAATTAATTTCATGTTTCTTTCTACTTCTTAAAATGTGGCTGCTAGAAACTTTAACATTATATATGTAACTTCCATTATATTCTGATTAGACATTACTTGAATTTTATAATTGCTCACTATAAATGTAACATTTACATCTGCTTTTGTCTTTTTCTTACAGCATTTGATTCGTGATAGACACTTAGCTTTGAAAATTCCTTTAGTATTCGTACTGCAGGCTCTGGGCCCTTTTGCTGAGTCGTTGTTTACTCAGAATATAGGAATAGTAAATATTATTACTGATCTATAAATGCTTTAATCATTTCAGACACTACTACTGAGAATTTAACTTGAAAGATTAGTAATCAATTAGTCAAGTTTGTTTCTTTTCTTTCTGGGCAACGCCATGTAGAAAGCAGGTCTTTGATAATAACACACTCTGTCCTTCCTCTTATTTCTGATTATTTGTTTTCTTTTTTAAAAGTGCAAACATTGAAATAAGACCTTGGCAAGATAACTTAAAATGAGAATAAAGATATATAAAGTGAAACATTTTCCAGTTGTGAGTGAATTAAAATTATCAGAGGGAAAAAAATGTTTTAAAATCAAGACTTACTAGCAAAGTGGGCATAACTAGATTTGCAAATATCTGTGAGATGATTGGTATAAGGCTTCAGTGCTGATGCATGGTAAAATCCTCTCCTCTCCTCTCATAGAGGAGGTGAATCAGAAATTAGATTGATAATAACTACAGGGTCACTAGACATAGGCAACATTACTGTTTTCAAAGAGTCCTAGCAGTAGTTCAAATCACAGTCTCTGTGTAATTTGCACAGAGAGACACTTGAAATTACATGTTGGGACCACAATCTCTGCAACTAATTTAATTATGTTCAGGACCACCAAGATCTGGTCCAGAATGGGATATTATGGTTGACTTTGAAATGTGAATAATGCTGATTTGTCACAGCCCCAGCTCAAAGTATATTAATGTTATAGACTGTGGTGCAGATTTGATGATCTCTCCAGGATTTTTTTTTTTCGTTTTGCCTATAACTTTAGAGTCCTGACTCTAAAATCAAAAACAAAACATAAAGAGAGAAAAGAAGGAAGGTAGAGAGGAAAGAAAAGAGAAAAATAAAATCAGCAATAGTGAGCAAAACCTTCAAAAGCAATTCCTGCATTGCTTATATAGAGTGTGTTCTGCAGTCCTACATTTCTTTCTCTCTTAAGGAGTCTGGAGTAGAAACTGCAAACACATTTGAGCTTAACAGAAAGGTGTTTTCCAGCCCTATTTCTTTTCTTTATGTTCTTGTGAACTTGGCTAACTCAGCAGCACAGGTATGTTCTCTTATTCGGGTTGTTTAAAAAGTCAGTAAAGTAGAACCCCTGAACTGTCATTCAACATAATTTGATACATTTAAAACTTCATAAATTCAGTTATCTGCATAGACTTAAACTTATGCCCAGATGCAAATATATACACACTCAGCTGCCACAGACTCCTGCTATGATTATTGTGTTCCAGGCTTAGAATAATGCAGCTTATCTGTCATTATAGCAGTTGACAGTACAAATAAACCATCAGGCTTTAGAAAGTTCCATAAATACACTCTATTACCCTATTTGTAGATGAGTTGCCTGGAAATGATGCATGCATTTGCCATGTGTACCCAGAGAAGGTCAAGGGCAATTGCAATTTTGACAGCAACACCTTTTCTTTTAATAGGGGACATTAGCCAACCAACAGTTTATAAAAACCTTTAAGCTGCTTGCAGGTTCCAATAAGCCCTAGGCAAAGGCAAGGGGTTATGGCCCAATTTCTTGATATATAGAAAGTCTTTCTCCAATATAAATGGATTATACATGTAAGATACTCATATGTCGTGGACAGGATTTTTTTTTTCACCAGAGATGCTTTATATAAAGTAAACTTTTATAGAAAAAATGAGATAAATATATAAAATTATAAAAAATTAAATTATTTTCATTTTATTTTTCTACACACACCATGATAATTGTAAAATCCTTAGAGAACATGATACTAGACCTACCTCTAATTCTCTTAAAGGAGTTAAAATGATTCAAAATAATTGCTATTGCTTTTTAATTTTCTCTTTCAACAATTTTATTTTAGTTTTTACTATAACTTTGATATATGACTTTCCAGTTAAACATAGCAAAGCCATCTGGGAAGATAAAAATAGCCAGACCAACACTGAATGAGGTCAATAGGCAATTTCATTAAAATGGCATAAATATGGGTACCACTGTAATTATTCTACATTCTTTGCCATAATATCATATAGCATTTCATGAAATATTTCACATATTGCTTGCTGGAAACAAACTGAAAGGCCTAGGAAAGACTCTCTTAGTATACTTTAGTTCATACTGACTTCTGAGAAACTAAGAAATCTGGACCTGGTTATTTATTTTAGTTACAGGGTTTCTGGGGACATAATTTGCATTCACACATTATATATCTTAACCATAGTTTTCATTAAACCATCATATTCTCTTGATCTTTTTCTATTCAACTCTGTCTTGTGTGAGTTAGCCTTATGTATGCAATAATGATAATTTGTATATTTCCTCTCCCAAAATATAGAATGGATATATTTTCTGGGACAAATACAAATGGTTTAATACCAAACTTGCAAGTCATCTCAAAGTCTTTTTCCTACAAAGTCTCTTTACTAACATTGTTAAATTAAATAATTGAAACAGTTATTTTTACTCTTCTCTCTTATGAAGTGAAATTTAAATAATTAAGCAAGTAATTTAATTGTTTCTAATATACTGCTTTGGAGGGAGTGCCAAAATTTAATGTTTTATTTATTATTTACCAAAGTAGTTTATTTTGTGTACTCCTTTCTAGATTTAAATAGTCTTTAACATGACAATTTGTATTAATTATACTTCAAGCTGAAAATAATGCATCATGTTGCAACTTTCACAGTTGCATGTATATAGAAATATGCATTTTTCATGACGTTTACAATTGTTTCAGTAAGAGTGAACATGTTGCAAAGAATGATGAAGCATGTATATGCATAACTGAAAAAAAGATAATTTAAAAAACAGGGTTTTAAGTTAATGCATATTAAAGTTCTTGTGTATCCCTTTCAATGATAGTTCCATTCTGTAACACTTAAGTTTTATAACTATTTGAATAAAAATATTTACTACATGTCTATTTTAACTAAAACAATTTAGGTAGAAATATTACATAACAATAGGCATGTTTAGAAATTCTCTATGAATGAGTGCATATTTCTAAGATACAAAATAGTGTAACAATAATTTTATAAGACAGTTGTTCTTTAAAATCCATTTAAACAAGCATTAAAATGCAGAAACTAAGTAAAAATCTTATCATTTTAGCCTATGTTTTAGCTGATATAAAATGGTGTAGACTTTAGGGGATACTTGCAGTATTACACACTTAGGCAGATATAAATGTATACAATGAATTCTCAAGTTTCCCCCAAAGTCTTTAGAGTTATCTTGTCAAATACAGGTCCCACCAAGTATGACCTTCTGGTCATTTAGGCATCACCCTAGTTTTGATCTTCATCTATTGGACTGACATAGTTAACTACATGAAGACCTATTCTATAAAAGTAGAATATAGAACTTGTGAAAGTTCTGCATGCACACCTTTGGGCCATTTCACTAACACTAATGAGTTACATGCTCAAATTTCTTTCTTTCTTTTTTTTTTAAATTAATGTTACTGTACTGAAATCTGGTCATGAACAAGTTTCTATATGTAAATTTATCTTAGAATTCATAAATCAATAATATATTTC